GATGATGATGATGATGATGATGATGATGATGATGATGATGATGATGATGATGATGTCATTTACTTGGTGGTTCACCCCCTTCAACCATCAAGTCATGCCCAAGTTGAAGTCACAAGGCTTCACCGATGGACCCGCTTTTTGAAGCAACCGATGGACACGCTGTGGAAGGACCGACCGGGACCGATGAGGCGGCAATCACTCCTTGTCCAAGAGATTGAAGAGCTTCATGGCTGCAAGCTCTCCGTGAAAATCTGCCGAACAAGGATGTCACCACAAAATGGTCATGATGTCATGTGGTTCCGCAACGTTCCACACTCTGGAAGGCAAACCAAATTCATGTTAGCCTCTGGTTGGCTCATGCCCAATCGAAATTGCTTTCAAAAAAGCACCACTCTTTACTTTATATGCCAAGCAACTGAGCTTCCTCATGCCGTTCTTGAATTCTTCCCTGCTAATTCTTTGGTCGTTGTTGGAATCAAACACCTGGCATCTTCAGCGGCTCCGAGTCGCCCAACGCGGCTCCGATGATGCGGAGGAAAACCCAACCACTGCCATTTGGGGTGGAGCCGTGCCAACAGGTCGTGGTAGCATCCCAAAAAGGTCATGAAAACATGGTCAGTCCCACATGTCCCTCTCAACGGCTTGGTGTGGATTAACCTTTGCACCGTACCCAAAGCACTGGACTTCCAGTGCCAGCATGGATCGCCGCACGCCGAAAACCGGACCGCGCCCGCCAAGGCCGCCACGGGCCAGAAAACCCGCCACCCACCCCCTGAAAAACATACTTGTTTACACAAAATAAATACATAGTATCAATACTTGACTTAATATCTATATATAGTAATGTATCTGGATACATGGAAAACACGAAATGATGTAACTATAGCAAGCACCCCTGGAAGACCCCACAAGACCCTTGTCTTCGCAATGCATCTGTACACGGAGATTGTCACAATGTGTCAAACATCTTGGCGGGAGCACATGCGCCCACGCGCGCAGCACAGATCCAACGGAATCTTTGAAGAACCTCAAAGACTCAAACTAATCGAGGCCCAGTTTCGGCCGACAACGGTAGTCAAAGATTTTCAAGCACAGGCCTTCACAGCCACAAGGCGCCACTATAATAATACAATAGAAATACCATAGAAAAACACATAACACAGCAAAAGGAAAATCCTGCCCATCCTGAATCCAAACCTTGGGGTACAATCCACAATCTCCTCACTCGTGGGATCACCAATATAAAAGTTTCAGGGTGGGTCGCTTTCGCCAGTTTTCAATTTCAACTGAAATCACCCTCCTGAGTGCCGGCGGGTACCTGCATGCCTTTCTTATTAATGTGCATCCCAAATGGAACTCGGAGAACACACCCGAAAAGCCATCGCCCATTTTGCCATGTGGCTCACGCACGCGCTCGACGGCCAGGGGTTTCGCATCTTCTTCGTCCATCGTCCTCGCTTGACGCGCCCGACGGAGCGAATGGAATTCACCGTGGCCCCCGGTCTGCGTGCACTGCCATGCAGGGATTGGGATGTGCTGGGGACGGAGACACGCGGATGGTCTTCAAGTTCTTCTTATACGCAGCAGCCCATTGCTGTTTTTGGACAGGGTGATAGCCGAAGCTGGCAACCGGGGTGGCAGTTTCAAATGGCGCTTCAAGGCCTGACCCCTGATCGCCCATTTGCGACACCCTTACACATGGGTGGGTTGGGTGGGCTCACAGAAACCACCGGCCCATGGGTCACCTGAACTGACGAAGTGAGAAATCCTCGAGAGGTGAACAGGTTCATGACGTGGCCCAGCTGGAGAACGACTCACGACCGGACGAACATGACTCCGTTGGTCAAACATGCCCAGATCATCCACAGAACATATGGAGTTACATACATTTACCCGATTCTAGGTAACTATTCCACACAAGGAGGGTCTGGGATGATGAACCTTTTATCTGTTCATAGATAGCGGGGAAATGAATCTCCCAAAAACAAGGTTAAAATATGTTAAAAGGCTTTCTTGTCATTCCTGTTATCCATTTGATCGGACAGTGATTATACAACATGAACATGTTCCAAAGTTTGCCTGTAGAACATACATAGACACCAGTGTTTCATATATATATATAAGATTATATAAGTTATCCACTTTTCCTGGGTAAGACCATTGGACGCAGCCATGGGACTCCAGTTCTCGTAGCTCGGCCAAGGACACCTCCACATTGGCTTTCCCCAAACACTGGCGGCCGGTTTCGGAGAATTGGCGCGGCGGCGTTCTACGTGAAACCCAGGAGCTGAGTCGGGTGAAAGAAGGACCATGGGTGTGCCTAAACTCATGCAAGGAGGTACAACGAAAAAACACAGGTCACAGAATTTGCTTGAGGAACCGGGAGAACAAACAATGGGTAAAGCCAAAGCAATAGCCCAAGAGGAAACAACGCCAACACACAGCACTGATGATATTTCTGAACATGTCGGTGTCTTTGGACCACGAGAAAATACGACGAATTAAGCGGCGTGAGGAGACACCGTAATGAAGTGATGTGTTTCGACTGGGAGGTGTAGGAGACTCTTTTCGGATCTTTTCGGAAATAACCTGAGACTTATTGGCTCACCTGAATTGTGTGGTAGAAGAATGACATGAACATCTGCCCACTCAACTGGTCATGCCTGAGACTTGCCAATCCAAATCCTCACCAACTGACGCTACGGTGCAGCTGTGCTGGAAGAGCAAAATTTACTAAATTAGGGCCATTTAGTGCCAGCATCTCTCTGGAAAGCGGGCATGCAGTACGTGTGGCAAATGTAGACGTAGAGATATATATATATAAATATAATGCCTGGCATGCTTGAACCTTTCTGGCATGACCCATTGATATTCATCAGTCTTCCTGCTTCCCCAAAAATCTACGGGATCCCGCCGTGGCGGCCAAACCTGCCTTGGTGGACTTGTTGCCAACGGCCGGGGCTCGCTGCCTGCGGAGTTCGCATCGGCGGTGTCAGAACGGCGGGCCGGCGGGCGCCGTTGGACGGCGGTAGAAGAATGTCAGTGTCTCGGTGTCGTAACTTTAAGTGCCAGGTGATGCCAGGTGCTGTTACACCTCTTCTGTCCCAGTCATGAAAACTAACGTGTCTCTCCCTTCCAATGCGGGAAGGCTGAACCCAACACACATTCGCATGATGTGGCTCTTCATGGTTATTATACGCATGTGTACAGCATCGTGCAGTACGAGAAGAAAAAACACCAAGAACATCACTGGTGTGGTGCCCTCATGACACGAATGACCTTGATCGCTGGCTGATCATCTCGCAGGTCCATCGTGGCGGCGGCCGCCGCCATTTGAGCCAAGGGTTTCACTCTGCGGGCGGACAGGCGAATTAGTGGCAGCTAAATTGCTGCCATGTCTCCAGCAACAAAAGCCATAAAGGTGAGAAAAGTTCATCCAATAATTTATCAAGATGCCCTTTCTATGTGGATGGATGCTCATGTTTCATCAGTGCCGTTCCCTCTTGCCACTACTGCTGGTGAACGTTCTCATCCAATCCAAGCTGCTTGTTGGCGCTCACCTGGCACTCACATCTCCAGTGGTACTCGGCGACCAATCCGACAGTTCTTGACACGAAGTCTCTCACATGGGAATGGACCGTGATGGACTCCCTCAACCTTATTCTAGGAGCCTTCTGTGCTAGACAACCAGCTGCTGAACCCAATTCTTGGGGATATACTGTGTTGTGCGGGGGGGGCAAGTAAGCCCAACCACTTCACTTTGCCCCGCACGGGTGCCTGCTGCACCACGAAGCGGCGCACGGCTGAAGCATCACGGCGGCTTCGCACCATGGGGCAGTGCTTGTTCAGCCATGGCTGGCTCAGGGATGCTGTGAGCAGCAGGGGTTGAACAGGTCGATCCTGCTTCTTCTGAAGGAAGAACTCTTTACAACACTGCCTCCTGGGCATGTAGGACACCCTACAAAAAGCGATCATTTCTCGGCTTTCTCGGTCTCAGAAATTGTGAGGCTTTTGTCCTTGAACTGTATTTGCTTAGAGTGAGGCCAAGCCATGCATACCTTGCAAAGCAAAATGGAGGCTAGGGAAGTCGCTCCAACTTGAGATATAAGTGCTCCAAAAGCCATCACAAAAAGAGAGGATGGGAAATGCTCCGCGTATTCTAAGTGGTCTAAATCAAAGGGACGAAACCCAAATCTTGTTGACATTGGTTTGTCTGAACTTGGCATCAAGTCTGCCCCTCTGTTAATCCAGTTTTGCTTGAGACGTCTAATCATTGTGCAGCAAAGACGCCCAAAACAACAAAGTCACATACAGTCACAAGTCACATGTCAGAACTTGGACATCCGTGACACCCGTTGCTCAACACACTGCGCTTGTTGATCCAAAGGACTTCCTGGTGGGCTGTAGGAGCGGTTGGAGGTCTCGAACGGCCTCTGGTGCCTCTAGCACCGACGTGTACATCAACTCACATGCAAATGGACCAGCACCTATTTTTCTAGAGGAACATGGGTCTTCACAAGGCCATGGTCCGTCCACTCCGAGGTGCGAGGTGCGAGTGTAAGTACGAAATCCACCGAAGTCCTTCCATTCGCTACGGTCCGAATCTCGGACTTGGCCGGCTCCACTGGTTGATGGCCTTGATGGTGTAGGTTCTTAAACGTCCAAGCGAAACACACATGGTCCATGGCCATCGCTACTTTATAGGGGCACTCTTGGCATCGCTACTAGGGGCGCCCCTGGCCTTACTACTGGGTATGTTGTGATCAGACTTATTAATCTATAATTATTGCATATTCTTGCTATAGTTTGGGTATGATTTTGGCCTGACCTGTAAGCTCCGAAATGTTGAGAAACAGGGAGGGACACACGACAAAACAAAACCAAACGAAACCTCTGGCAGTTCGGCAAACCCGACGAACGAGGCCCAAACACACGTGTTTGATTCATCATGTTTGATCTTTTTTTGCAGTCTGTGCCATGACCCAACATCCATCGACCCATTCCATGCCTCTCTTGCTCGGCGCCCCGGACTGCGAAGAGCCTCCTTGAATTTCTCAACATCAAAGCTGGGCCTGCGCTTTCAGCTTTTGGCACGTCGCTGCGGGCGCAACGACAGGCTCAAGTGGCGGAGGCTTCAAGAAGCGGCGAGCCCAGCTTCGACCCCAAACACCTCTGTAATATCGGTACCCGGGCGCGCAGTCTGCAGGCAACATGGTGTTTCAACCACAGCAAGTCTTCCAGTCTGCGGGGGGAGGTTTAGCTCATTGTAGCGACATGTTAGACATTGTTGGACGTTGCCTCGGCTTCTAGAAACATTCACCCATCTTACCCAAATAACAGTTATGTCGTAGGGTGAACACAAGCACATCACCCTTGGGACAACTCAAGGTCAATGATGATGGAGTGACTGGAACTTTGGGTTTTGCATTGATTTGCATAGCTAGGCATGCATATGTAGCATTATGTAGCTATGGCAGGCTGTGGCAGCCCCGCTGAATTGGACTCCGCCCTGTGGCCAGGACGGGATCTAGATGGACCGTCCGCATTGAGATTGAACAGGAAGAGGTCTCCCCATCGCTTTCCACCTTCAATCCCTTCGAAAGAACATTCCCTGGACACCTCCAACAACCCCAAGGGCCTATCAAAAAAGCCGGTTGTTTGGGGTGGAGTCTCATGGTGCTCTCGTCGCATGCTCACCACGGCGGGGTGAGTAACTACGACGACCCTCCCCCCTCCGTCCCGTCTCGGTCCTCTCGAGTGGAGCGGCCTCGTCCGGGTCCCACGGAAGGGATCGGGATCCACATCGCACTCGACGTGACTGGTCCCGACAATGTTCATCAACGCATAATGCAAGTGTTGGCTTGTGTTGACTTGTTCATTCCGATCTATGCATTTGTTAAACAAGAAAGAAACCACATATGGATAGACGCATGGGAGGTCACTTCAACGTGCGAGAATATACAAACCCCGGAACAGGGAACAGTCGTCTGTGGTGTCCGATAGTCTCTTGATGTCTCTTGATATAACCACGCTGATGTATGTATCAAAACCTTGCACCCCCCTAAAACCCCTAGCTTGGCATTGCAAGCGCCCGGAACTTTCGTTTGGAACCCCAGAAGCCCCCGGTGCCACCGAAACTCCCGGCCTTCTTGGGCGTGACGCTGGGTCGTTTCTCCTGGACGGTGGGGAGTCCGTGACATTCGGTGACATGGAACCATCTATTGGTTTGGCTCCTTAGAGCGTCCGATCACTCCTAGTACGGCCAGGAGCCCCGTTTGTAGCTTCTTGTTCCTAGCAGCGATGCCAGGAGCCCCTAGTGGCTTCTTTAACTAAAGCAAGAGAAAGTCTGCATCGTCCAAACCTTTTTGGTTCGTCTTCCGTTGGAAGCAAAACCCAAAACGATGCTATGCTGGTTTGTCACACTGGTGTAACACAATCTGTCAATACTGCTCACCTGCTCTTGCCAAACCAGGTGGCCTTGGCACAATTTGCTCAAAACAAATCAAAACAAAACGCTCTGTAACGAAGCAAGTGTCAGCGTCCTACATAAATTCGAGAGCAACATCTACTCGACCCCTGGATCTTGCCATTCTGTTGCTTGACCCCTTACGTACAGCAATTCAAAGGCACTGTAGCTGCCTGGGGCTGCCTGCAGAACAACGTGACATCACTACCCTATGCAACCGAACAGGCAAGCCCACAACCCTGGCGTTCAGGGGTTCGTTCTACAAAATACTACAAAATCATATGTGAGATTTACATCCGGATTTGCTCTTCTTTGATCCAATTCAACAGCAATCGGCATCGTTTTAGTTGACTTTGTTGCATCAATTCCATCAAGTACCTTGGATCCATTCACATCAGCGACGAACATCTTCCGACCCATGCACAGTCCATCCACGCGTCACAGAAATGAAAAAAAACATGCAAAGAACCATCACCTTTTAGTCGTGCATACACATGCACACACGTACCGTCCAATTGGTCGAATTACTGGGCCAACTCTGCGATCTGGGGCGCCCGTCCTCGCAAGCTTAACAAACACTGCGGGGAAAACGAGGGGTCCTGATGGATCTTGAGGGGTCCGATGAAGAACGGGCCGAAAACACGTCACATGGCCTTCCAAAAATCTAATGTACACGTGTGCTGTTCTTGAGACAGCGAGTCCAACAAATGCCAAGCCGGCAAAAATCTGCCAACGGAAATCCACATGCAGAGTTGGAAATCCACAGCTGCAAAAACCTCGGGGCATAGTGTTTTGTTGTTTTTTCTTTTTCTTCACGAGCTGGTTTGACTTTTTCCCTGGCTCTTCATGTGAAACTTTCCTGTTAGCACCGCGGGCCGGGAGGCTTCAATTCAAACAAGACCATGGCCTACGTAGGGCCTACCAAGAGGGGTCAGCGGCCGGACTACAGGGGCTGGATGAGCATGCGGAATCTTCCTGCGCAGGTTCAAGAAACCGAATCAGCATTGTAGCTCAGGTTGCCTGCAATAGTTCAAACTTATGTTCATTTATTTGTGTGTCAATTCCTAGACAAAATAGCACTTCTGTGTCTTCTTTTGGTCCACAAAGTGAGGAGAAAACATGCCTCTCGTGAACAACAACAACAACAACAACAACAACAACAACAACAACAACAACAACAACAACAACAACACATAAAAATATATAAAAATCAAATAAAATAAGTATACACATTATCAGTGTGAACCTTCAATGGGACGGGCGTGGCAGTGTGAACTGACATAAACCCATGGGTCATGACAATGTTTTCACCAAACTACGCTAAAGATCGCTAAAGTATTTTCGACAAACACAACATGTCAAATTCGAACACCAAAGGCTGTCGGCCATCTGCTGGCCATGTGGCGCCACTCTCGCAGTGCCCGCAGTGCTTCTACCTCGACTCGGCCGGCGCCTCGGGGATAGAAGGCATTGAGCAAATGGTCGTCTCCACACTCTCCACCTGCAAAAGGAGGGTCGAAATGGCCGTCTCCCATCCCCTGTCAGTCGGAATCGATGTGGTTTGTTTTAGGGGTGTGTTATCGTGTACTTATTGTATCTTATACAAGGATTGAAATTGAACCTCTTGGAAGGAGAACACCACCAATTCGAAGTCGAACCGATGCAAGCATGTCCGAAGGGATTAATTTCTGGAGTCGAATGGAACTGGATCCCAGGTGGCAAATCTCCGGGCCAGGTGAATAGCAGAACTAATGTAAGAATCCATGTCAAAGCTTCATTACAAACCCTACCATGGAAAGAAAGGCTTCGAAGTGGGATAAAGCATTCCTGGCAGGTGTTCATGCACCGCAAATGCAACCACTGCGGATCCATTTGCGACTATGCCAGC